ATAGTGTCCTCTGTACTGACAATCAGACCTGACTTTCTGCTGCAATGTTTTTCATATAAGGACACAGCGTCAGGCCTGAGGCTGGAAACCATGAACCCACAAAATAACAATTACGAGTCTATGACCACTGGATGGACATAGACATAATTAATGGCCTCCAAGCGGATTTCCTTGACCGCTTGGGATGCTGGGGATAGACATTAGGAGGGGGGGGGGTCTCGTGGCCATGAGGTTAAGGTGTTCGCCTCTCATTCAAAGGGTAGCGACGGAAAAAAATTCTTCTCTAAAATTGTCTCTTTTCACATTCTTTCCTTCTCTGCTCTTGTAATATTCTGTCCTCTGCTTTCGTCTCCACTTTCGTCCCCCACCCCCTAACCTCTTTTGCCCCCTCCACTGCGCTCCTGACTCTTTTCTGCAGCCTTTCTTTCTACTGATACTCCTTGGCTCCTTCTTACTGCTGTCTTTTAGCCTCACCCCTGATCTTCTAGAAGGAAAGATCGACACCTAGCCTTCTCGGACAAGGGCGAACAATCTTGGAGGTTCTGTGTGCAAGTTGCGCACGTTAAAGATCCCTTGGTGCCACTCGGACAAAATTCAAAATTTCTTCCCAATTGAACATGTGTCCCGTGCGGTAAAACCTTATACTATACATACATATTATGACCTTATGCAGTTGCGAGCGCCGTAAAACATTTACTCTTACCAAAAAAAAAAGACTAGGGGGGTGATCCTGAAGTCGGGCATCTGTCTGTCTGTCTTCCTCGAGACGTGCAGCAGTCAGAACGACTTTCTTTTCTGGTGTGGTTTGTTTTACTGGCGCTTTCTCGCCGTCTTTCTGCTTGCTTGTCTGCTAACCTGTTGTTTGTTTGTTTGTTTGTTTGTTTGTTTTTTACTTGGTTGAACATCCGTTTGCTTTTTAAGGCTCACACTGATAAAATAATTGCAGTTTTTGGGACACCTGAATAGACGCAAGGGTCTTGAACATCTAGCTCTCACTGGCAAAATTGAAGGCAAACGAGGCAGGGGTAGGCCCAGAACAATCTACTCGGGGAACCTAAAGAAATTGGTAACAGGGAAAGATCAGGGAAACGTAGCTTTTTTTTAGAGCATCCGAGCAAAGGAATGAATGGAGATCCATGGTCGCCGACTTCAGTTGCAGATCTGGCACTGGATGATGATGATGATGATGATGATAATGATGGTGATGATGATGATGATGATGATGATGATGATGATGATGATGATGATGATGATGATGATAAAATAATATTGATACCTATGCATTAATGTAGGAAAAGAGATCAGTAAATAAGGGAAGAAAATTAAGTACATAATACTTTCTGATGCACGCAAAGGAAAACCAGATTGCAAAAAACAGCACATGATGCCGAAGTTCACAGTAACATACATTATGGTAAGCTGCAATAAAGTTCCACAGAAAAACAGCCAGAATGTTCGAAAAGGTTATTCGTTTAATAGAAAATCGATAGTGCGCCTCACCTAGTTGTTCATGCATTGATTTAAAACATTCTTTTTAACTTTTGATGGAAACAGACGTGCACCTTTTATTCTTACAAACATACGCGCGAGTTGAAATAATATGAATGGCATTATATTAAATGGGAGTGTAGTTGATAAGCCTTTGAAGCACGAGGAAACGATGGAGCGATGGAGGGTTTTTGTTTTTGTTTTGGGGGGCGGGGGAGTGGAGATGAGGGGAGGGGGGGGGATCTTTGACGATTACAGAGAGGTCAACTGCTCGCCATCACTGTTCACAGTGGAGATACAGGACAGTGGGAAGAGACCTTTCCTCTTCTTCCTCAGTCTCCCCGTCCTGTAATAACCGTAGCAAAGACCGTCCTGTGGCTCCTCGTCCGAACGTCGCAGTTTGATGATTTGTCCGGCCCGGAAGCTCAGCTGACCTGGGAGAGTCCCCGTGTAGTCCTCAACGGCCTGGAAGACAAATTTACACGTTTTTTACAACACGGTTTTACGGCACTTGCATCACATTTAGGTCATGATCTAATATAAATGAGATGATGATTAGAAATATTACTAGAGGCTAACATTCCTAGGAAAGAAGAGCAGTAGAAATTATAAGGATGATGGATGTTTGACAGGAATGAAAGAGCAAACCACACCAGAACACCCGCCCTCCACCCACCCTGAGACCAGGAGAAACAGCAGACGTACACACGCGACCTCAGTGTTTTCTTGTATCTCCATTTTAATAACAGTGAAAATAGTTCATAACAAAGTGTGAGCTGAAGAAGTCTCATTTTCACTGTAAAAAAATAAAAATGGAGATACGACAAGAAAACACTGAGATCTAGTAATAGAAAAGCACAACAGGGTTGCAGAAAAGGCTCAACTATGAAATGTTGTGGGAAATTGTGCGTACAATCTTTTGGTCAAGTGGTAACGTCGTTGTGATTTTCTAAAGCAAGGGAGCCTTTTGCAGCTTCAGTAGTCTATAAAACTCTCTCTCGCTCTCTTTCTCTGAACTCTCCCTCTCTCTCTTTCTCTCTCTCTCTCTCTCTCTCTCTCT